CTGACTCACTAGGAGTTGATAATTAGTGAGTTGAATTTTGCCATTATTGGTCTAACATCATGTAGAAGCCTTTAATACTAAATTGCAATGAAGGAGATCTAATATCATTAAGCTGTTAATTCACAGCTATCACAAACTTTGTAAACAATGCCATAATCGTGGATAGAGCACCTGGCACACAGCCAGGAAGACCTGAATTCAAAAGTCAAGACCAGCCTCAAACACTTACTAACTGTGTGACCCTGGGCAAATCGCTGAACCTGTTTGTCTCAGTTTTCCCCTTTCTATAAAATGGAGATTCTAATAGCACCTACCTCCCAGGGTTGTTGTGAAGATCAGATGAAATAATAATTGTAAAGCACTTGACACAGTGACTAATGCACACTAAGTGCTATATAAATGTTAGTTCCATATTGTTTTATGTGTGCAAAGATTTTGTAAATCTAGAGCAGAAATTTTCATTGAAGGTTGTGTAACCCAATACTTTGTTCACCATGTGGAATTTAGGATTATTTTCAGTGACTAATGTGTGAGACTATCATTGGTTTCTTAACTAATGTCCTAATTAATTTTTTTTAATCAAATCTTCACATAAGAACTAAAATGTATAGTTAAAAATGATCTTCATAGTCTTGGAGCTGCCCATGGTACTTTCTCGAAGGGACTTTGCGTTTTTATTTTTCATTGAAGGCAGAAAATTATTAACAAAATTAATTAAGAGGAAGAATGATCTCTGGATCACTAACACGAATGATATATTTCACTCCTCTTTGGTAAAATAAGAAACAAGGAATTTCCTTGGCATAGTTTCCAAATTAAAGAAAATTACTATTTTTCGGGTGTCAAGAGTATTACTATGTATGTGTAACCTCGCTTTCATCCAAGCCTGAGGCACTTTTAGCATTTCTGAATATAATGAATAATATAATTTTCTCTGTTGGCAGAGAAAATAATGAGCAGCCCCTTTGTACCTGTGTAAGGGACTTACTGAGTTAGTTCCAAAAACTTTAGAGACAGAAATGTGGACAGAGGATACTCTAGGGGAGGTGGTGGAGGAAGAATTTGGAATAGAGGACATGCATGGGAAGGTGGGTCCATCATATCTCTAAACTTACTTGAAATTCTAAAGATTGCTAAAAATGGACCTCCTATAGGTGGGAATTTTTTCTCTTTCCTGGTTTGAACTGAGATTCTCTCATTTGCAGATAAAGAGCTGATTGACTCTTGCATATTATTTGATATATTTTTAAAAATTAATCAATTTGTTTTTAGTTTTTAACATTCACTTCTATAAGATTTTGAGTTCCAAATTTTCTTCCCATCTCTCCTCTCCCCCCAAATACAGTGTGTATTCTAAATACCCCTTCCCCCAATCCACCCTCCCTTCTATTACTCCCCCCCCTTCTCTTAGCCCTTTCCCCTTCTATTTTCCTATAGGGCAGGATAAATTTCTATACCTCATTGCCTGTATTTCTTATTTCTCAGTTGTATGTTAAAACAATTTTTAACATTCATTTTTAAAACTTTGAGTTCCAAATTCTTTCCATTCCTCCAACCCCACCCACCCTTACTGAGAAGGCAAGCAATTTGATTTAGGCTATACAGGTGTAGTCATGCAAAACACTTTCATAATAGTCATGTTGTGATAGACTAACTATATTTCCCTCCATCCTATCTTGCCTCCCCTTTATTCTATTCTCTCCTTTACCCGGTCCTTCCTTAAAAGTGTTTGATTCTGATTACCCCCCTGCCCCAATCTGCCCTCCCTTCTATTATCCCCTTCTCTTATCCCCTTCTTCCCTATTTTCCTGTAGGATAAGATAGATTTCCATACCCAGTTGAGTGTATATGTTATTCCCTCCTTAAACCCAGTCTATTAGAGTAAGATTCACTCATTCTCTCTTACTTTCCCCTTCTTCCCTCCACTATAAAGGATTCTTCTTGCTTCTTTTATGTGAGATAATTTACCCCAAGTCTACCCCATTCTACTCCCTTTGTCCTCCCATTACAATTCTCTCTCACCCTTTAATTTTACTTTTTAGATATCATCCCCTCATGTTCAACTCATCCTGTGTCCTCTGTCAATATCTATATCTATCTATCTATCTATCTATCTATCTATCTATCTATCTATCTGTCTGTCTGTCTGTCTATCTTCCCTCCGACTACCTTAATACTGAGAAAGGTCTCATGAGTTACAAATATCATCTTTCCACATAGGAATGTAAACAGTTCCACTTTAATAAGTCCCTTATGATTTTTCTTTTCTGTTTACTTTTTCATGCTTCTCTTGAGTCTGGTATTTGAAAATCAAATTTCCTATTTAGCTACAGTCTTTTCATCAAGAGTGCTTGAAAGTCCTCTATTTCATTGAATATCCATTTTTTCCTTGAAGAATTATGCTCAGTTTTGCTGGGTAGGCAATTTTTGGTTTTTTGAATATCATATTCCAGAATATTATATTCTAAGCCCTCTGATCCCTCAGTGTAGAAGCTGCTAAATCTTGTGTTATCCTGATTGTGTTTTCATAATACTTGAGTTATTTCTTTTTGGCTGCTTGCAATATTTCCTCCTTACCTGGGGACTCTGGAATTTGGCCATAACTCCTGGGAGTTTTCCTTTTGGGATCTCTTTCAGGAGGGTTTAGTAGGTTCTTTCAATTTCTATTTTACCCTCTGATTCTAGAATGTCAGGGCAGTTTTCCTTCATAATTTCTTGAAACATGATGTCTAGGCTTTTTTGTTGATCATATAGATCAATGATTTTAAAATTATTTCTCTTGGATCTATTTTCCAGGTCAGTTGTTTTTCCAATGAGAAATTTCACTATTTTTTTTCATTCTTTTGGTTTTGTTTTATAATTTCTTGATTTCTCATGAAGTCATTAGCTTCCATTCTAATTTTTAAGGAATTCTTTTCTTTAGTGAGCTTTTGGATCACCTTTTCCATTTGGCTAATTCTGCTTTTTAAGGCATTCTTCTCCTCATTGGCTCTTTGGACTTCTTTTGTCATTTGGGTTAGTCTATTTTTTAAGGTGTTATTTTCCTCAGTATTTTCTGAGTCTCCTTTAGCAATCTGTTAACTCATTTTTTATCATTTTCTTGCATCGCTCTCATTTCTCTTCCCAATTTTTCCTCTACTTCTCTTACTTGCTTTTCAAATTCCTTGTAAAGCTCTTCCATGGCCTGAGCCCAATTCACATTTTTCTTGGAGGTTTTGGATGTAGGAGCTTTGACTTTGTTGTCTTCTTCTGTTTGTATGTTTTGATCTTCTTTGTCACCATAGTAAGATTCTATAGTCTGAGATTTTTCTGCTGTTTACTCATGTTCCTAGCTAATTACTTGACCTTTGTTAAGGTCTTTGTTAAGGTAGGCCTTTGCTTTAAGCATGGAGGGTATTCTGCTCCAAGCTTCAGGGGTTTTGTGTATCTGTTTTCAGAGATACTTTTAGGGGTCTATAAATTTTTAGTTCTTCCAAGGTGGTATGATCAAAGGAGAGATATTTGACTCCTTTCCTAGCCTGTGCTCTGGTCTATAAGTGACCACAAGCACTCTTTTCTGTGAGGAGGATTTCCTCTTTACTGCTGCCAAAGTTCTGCCACTTCAGCACTCCTCTTCACCCTTGTACCACCACCCAGGACAGTGACCCAGACCCAAGCACAGGCAAAGGAGGAGAATCCTGCCTCAGCACCAGCAAAGAGATCATTGCAATCCCCTTCTGATCAGCCGCTCAATTCCCCCTCTGTCTGTGGGCCAAGAGCTCCAGAAGCAGCCACTGCCGCTGTGGCCATCATCCCGAGACTATGCTAGGGTCAGGACTGTATCACGCTGCTCTCTCACCCAGGTCCTCCAAACCTTTCCCACTGACCTTTAAATTGTCTTTGGCATTTGTGGGTTGAGAAGTTTTGAAACTGCCACAGCTGCCCGCAATTCAGTCCCCTGAGACCTGCTCTGGGTTTGCTGCAGCCCTGGCTTTGCTTGCATGACCCACACTGGACTTCACTCCTCTCCCAGACTGGCACAACAGACCTTTCCAATCAACCATCCAGGTTGTCTTGGGCTGGAAATTTGTTTCACTCTGTCTTTTTGTGGGTTCTGCTGCTCTAGAATTTGTTTAGAGTCATTTTTTACAGGTATTTGGAGGGGTTTAGGAGAGAGCTCAAGACAGTCACTGCTTTTACTTTGCCATCTTGGCTCCACCCCTCACTTAGTATATATTAATCTAGGCAACTTCTTTGATTTCTATTTGCTGTTTGCTTGGATGAATAGGTTTGCTTCCTATTTGCTGTTGTGGACTTTCATGTAACCAGTGTTTGGTAGGAAGGTACTAAGCTGGCAAATATAAACTGAAGGCTACCTTTCCACTTTTTTTTTTTTTGGTGAGGCAATTGGGGTTAAGTGACTTGCCCAGGGTCACACAACTAGTAAGTGCTATATGTCGGAGGCCAGATTTGAATTCAGGTCCTCCTGACTCCAGGGCCAGTGCTTTATCCACTGCCCCACCTACCTGCCCCTACCCTTAAGAACAACCAGGGAAGTGGTTTTCCTTCTGAACCCCAACTTGTATTCCTAGATTAGAGATATTTGAAGGGTGGCAGATAGATATGTTCCAGCTCAGTATCCCTCTTGGAGACTGGAATAGAGACTACCCAACTAATATGCTTGCTGTGGAGGCGTGGCTTTCCTTGGTTCTCATCCTTTCCCTAAAAGCAGATCAGACCTCAGGTTATATCTATCCATGGGAGTAGAAAATATATTCACTTAGATAAATCTATACATTTAGATAAGTTGCATGCACATGTATCTTACATATGGAGAAAATATATATTACATATATGTTTACAGGATATAGCTCTGTGTGTATGTATGTATGCATGTTTGTGTGTGTGTATGTGTGTGAGTGTGGTTGCATTTGTGTGAGCACATGCTTGAGAGATAGCATATGGACTACTGGAATTCGAATCAAGAAAACTGGAATTTGAATTTTTTCCAAGTTACTTACTCATTGTGTGATCTTGGGCAATAATTTACTCTGTTTCCTCATCTGTAAAATGGGGATAGTAAGGCAGCTAGGTGGCACAGTGGATAGATTGCTGGGCGTGGCGTCAGGAAGTTGCTGTTCAGTTGATTCAGTCTTGTCCAACTCTTCATGACCCTGTGGACCATGCTGTCCACGAGTTTTTCTTGGCAAAGATGCTGGAGTGGATTGCCATTTCCTTCTCTAATGGATTAAGGCAAACAGGTTATTTTGTAAAGCATCCTGTAAGTCTTATGTGAACCGTGATAATTTTGAATACTAGAATCCTAAACCAGGTCAGAAGACCTGAGCTCAGACCTCATTTCAGCACTTCCTAGCTATGTGACCACTGACAAATCACTCTCTGAACCCAATTCTCATTTGATGTATGAGGCTGATTAGGGAACTTCCTGATATATTTACTAGTGTACCTCCCAAGGTCTTCTGCTCTGGCTCCTCGGGGATGGACCCAGATGTTGGCTTCTTACTGAAAGATAAGTACCTCATTCTGTCATTGCTTCTTGGTCACCATGGCTGTGTGTTGTGTGGAAGGTGCCTGGTAGCTGAGCCAAGAGGAGTTGTCTCTTCAGTAGGCTATAAGAGCTATAGAGAAAGACTAGTGTCTTCTCTAAACTATGTCACTTGGGAATCGGACAGTTCTCTTTGGACTTCCAGGAAGGAGGGAAGGAGATTTCTCTTCCCTCCATCCCCAGAAGCCATGGCTGATACAAATACACAGCAGCAAAAGCCTGGGCACATATGAAATAGCAGAACAAGAAGATTTGAAATAAAAAAATTTCCCACAAATATACTCACCATTAGGGAGCACCCATGAGAGAGTATGGAGGATTGACAAAGGAAGAATCCGTATGAAGGAACAAGTCACATTGCTGTTGCCACAGGGTGATGTCTTCTGGTGACGTTATCGCAGTGGTCTCAGGAAACCTGCCCATTGATGACTATGCCATCTCTTTAGGAAACATCCCTCTGTTAGGCTCACTGGACTTCCTCCTAACCAGGAACAGGAGTCTCTGCTGAACAAGCTCTTTGATAGTTATGGGGATTTCCAACTTTCTCTACTTTCAGTTAGTTGGGATATAATAGCTAGAGCCATTCCAGATAAGGGCAGACTGAAAGTCCTTTAGTCTTAAAGGCAAAACACCATTAAGAAAAGCCTGGCAGAGTACCCCCAGGCTATGATTAGATCTCTCCTTTGCAACTCCTAAATCTGGGACAGAGATTAAAGTTATAGATAACTTTACCCATTAATTAGCCATCTTCACTTATCCCCAACGGCTGTTTGGTTTAGTTGCAAATAAAATGATTGTGTAGTCATGTTTCAGGTGTGTCCCATTTTTTGTGACCCCTTTTTTTTGTGGGAGGAGGCTTTTGGCAAAGATACTGGAATGGTTTGCCATTTCCTTCTCCAGCTCATTTTACAGATGAGGAAAGGAAGACAGAGTTAAGTGACTTCAGCAGGGTCACACAGTAGTAAGTGTCTGAGGCCAGATTTGAAATCAGGAAGATGTCTTCCTGACTCCAGTCCTGGCACTCTGTCCACTGCACCACACAGCTGCCCACAAATGAATTTAAGACAGATCAAAAGGTAAACCAGGGAGTCAAGGTCAATGGTCTTTCCCTTCCTAGCCCACATTCATGTCTTTGTTATGCAGGTCTGTCCGCAGTAAAGTCAGATTGTTTTGGCCCATAAAAACCTCCCTAGATATAAAATAGAGAAAAATACTTGCATCACCATTCCCACAGACTTATTCTGAAGAAGGAGGTTTATAGAATATAAAGCCTATGCCCCTCTCCTGCTATCTTCATGCCATGCCCCCTGCCTCTAACCTAGCTCCACAGCTTCTCCTGAAGGCCCTTTGTACTGAGTGGGGAGAATTCTCCATACCCAACCAAACCCAGACCCTCCCATGCCAGTGCTCCCCAGACATCTTAATGCTATGCTGCCTTCATGCTGTGATACTTTCTGTAACTTTGGGAACAGTAATTAAATCTACACTTTCATTTGTGTAAAGGTCATGTAGTTAAGTGGTGCAATGGATAGAGTGCCAGGCCTGGAGTCAGAAAGATTCATCTTCCTGAGTTCAAATCAGGCCTCAGAAACTTACTAATTGTATGACCTTGGGCAAGTCATTTAACCCAGTTCCTCATCTGTAAAATGAAAATGAATCACCTTCTGATTAGTTTGAAAGAGCAACTGATTTATATCAAGCCTAATTTAAACAAACACTTTTGCATGATTTTGGATAGAATTGAAAAATGGGTATCATCATTTAGTAAACACAGATAATGATTTACTATAAACGCACTTGGATCTACATATCTTGAAGGATCTTTACAGCTATGATATCCATTAAACCCAAGGATTTAAATAAATCTAGAAATGGACTTTTAAATCCCTGTATCACAAAGTGGTAAAACAAGATTTTTAGAAATAATGTAACATATTCAATCACATTTTTATCATTAAAATATTGTGGTTAATAATAATATTTTTGTCAGAACCAAAAATTTCTTTCCTGTTAAGAAATAAAAAATAAAAAATTTAAAGTATTTTAAAACTGTTGTTGATTCTATCTTTATCTCATTCTTTTTAATGTTCATTTTAATTCATGCTTCATAATATACATACTATGTTAGTTTAGTACATGCATATAATTTATGCATCTATATAATTTATAGTATACATGTATATAGTTTATACATTTATATAATTTATAGTAGATATGTATATAGTTTAAGAATAAATATAGATATATTAGGGGCACATGCTCAGAAACATCTTACTGATAGAGTATATGATTTTAAAACTTTGGAGAAAATTACTCTATTAATCATGTATTGAGATGTATTTTTTCTTTCATTTATTTTATTCTGAACTTAAGAAATAAAACAAGCATTTCTATAACTTAGTAGAATAGAAAAAAAGATGACTGCACATGAATCTGCAAATCTATTATGTACAACTTGCTATTTCTTTTAAATATATAATAAAGATATCATGTAACTTTCTTCTTTTTCTTTTCTCCCCCCAAGATAGCTACTATTAGACTTAAATATGTATTATATATGCAAATACATACACATATACACATATATGTATGTGTATATATATATACATATATATGTACGTGTATTATACACGTACATATATATGTAAGACCATTCTAAACATACTTCTACTTACCAGTTCTTTCTCTGGATGTAGAAAGTGTCTTTCTTCATATTTGTTTTAAACTGGTTCTTTAATATTTTTGTCCTCTGACATTTGCTATAATTTTATTTCCAGATTCAGTATTCTTGACTATTCCTTAATCTCCATACCCTTATTTAGGTACCTTTTTCGTATAATGAAGGTATAATACCACTAGTGATATTATTCACCATTGGTCTTATTTACATGGTCCATCATCAGAACAAGAAATATGCTTGATATGAGATCCAGATTAAAATCATGATTTCTAAAAGCTACAAGTATTTATTAATGTAGATTAATTTAAAGCATATTACCAACCTCTTTTTTCAAAGTGGATGCATGTAGAGCAATTTGTGGGGGAATAGCAAAAATTACTGAGGATGGTGAATCAGCAAAGGAGAGTGACATCAAACAGTTGGTCAGGTGGGAGAAGCAAGAGAAAGCAGGGTCAAGGAAGTTGAGGGTGGAGAGAATATTCAGATGCAGGGAGTGGGCAGTAGTGTCAAATGCTGCAGAAGGTTTGCCAGAATAGTTTGCCATGGGAACTGGCCACAAGAGGTACCAACCAGAATCATGAAAAACTGACGATCTTGCATCTAGTAAGTATGGAAGATAAGGATGATTTTCTAGGGACTTAAATAGTAAGGGAAATGTTTGTCTTTCTGACATAAGACAGGAATTGCTATGAATGCTAGGATTTCCTAAAGAATGAAAAGAGGACAATGGGGGATAATTTCTTATGTTTTAGATTATCAGAGAGAATGAAGAGTTTCTTGAAGAAAAAAAAAAAAGGACTTTAATATAAACACAAAGAAGAAGGATCTAAAGATGCAGAAAGAAATATTAGGAGGGTAGAAGAACATGATATTGATGAGGAAAGGAAGAAGAAGCTCTGACACTTGGAGCTAAGTGAGAGTCTTGTCCAGAGGGAAGTGTTGGACCTTCTGAGAAAGAAGCAGTTACTTGTTGCTTGATAATGTCAAGGTAATTTCAGAAGCTAGACTGATGACCAAAGGTCAATGAGAGAGGATCTGAATGGTAACTGTTGGTGACAACAGCTCTTCCAAACAGAGTATTTTTTGACTTGACATAAACCACAGAGTGATTTGTTGCCTCTTGAGGTATATATATGGGTATGATGAAGGGGCTCAAAAGATACTTCAAATTTAATAATCTGTATCAGTGGTAGTGATTCCTACTTACTTCCTTTGTATTATGTGAGGATAAATGATACCATCAGAAGGAATCTAGAAAGCATTGCTATGGATTATAAAATCTGTGGAGAAGAAACAGTCTAGAGAAGAGAAAAACCAGGGGAGACAGGATAGCTTGTTCTGTGCATCCCCTAAGACAGAACAAAAAGCCTTAATAGAGTTCAAGGTCTGAAGAGGAAAACTTAGGCTCAATGTTAGGAAAAACCTCCTAACAATCGGGGCTGTTCTAAAATGTAATGGATTGTCTGGAAATGTGGAAGGTACCCCCTCCTCACACACTATTCCCACCTCACCCCTTATCTGTCTGATATCATCAAGGCTAGATAACCATTTATTAGGTGTGTTATGGTTGGGATTCTTTTAGGGTATGAGTTGGACTGGATGGCCATGGAAGAGGTCTCCTCTGACTCTCAGAATCTGCAACCACAGGGGCATAGGCTCTATTTCATTACTATTCACAGCTGAAGACAGGGACTTTAGATGAGAAAGGCAAATTTAGCTAATAACAGGCTGGTTAAGAAGACAACATGTGAGAACAGGATTTGACTTTCTGGATTACAGTTTAAAATATCTTAGTCAGTGATGGAGTGTACCTAAAATGGCCAGTAAAATTATATTTGCCTAGAATCTAGTGAATCTGATTAAGAGGGTTTTGAACTGAAAAAAGAGGAGAGGAAAGAAAAGTGCTTGATCTGCTAATAGTAATAGCTAGTATTTATACAGCACTTGAGGGTTTGCAA